GCTGCGGCTGGACAATGTACGAGTATAGCTTGCCATCCCTTTCTCAAGTCATTGTTCTGTGTCAATTGAGAAGGAAAGAAGACAACAAGAGTCACACACAAACGACCAAAAAGAGGAGAAGGCAAGCTGACGATGTTGATGGTGCTACAAACACCATATCTCAGAAGGCCAGGGTTGGTGAAGGCTATCACCAGCAACAGATCACGTGTTTCGAGGCGCCGGCCGAAACTGAATATGAGATCGTGTATAATGGGGTGACATTTGACAATTTGAAGTCCTTTTCTCATCAACTTGTTCTGGACTTTGACAATGATCAGGTGGCTGTCAGTTCCGTTGCTTCAACTATCAACGTTGCAGCACCAACTGTATTCACTTCAAGTTGTGCAGAGAACTTGCTACCAGATGTGGTCGTGTGCATCGACAATGATGAGGAGCCTTCTGCAACAGAGGAGGATGATGATTACCATCGAGAGCTTCTTCGACTGCTGGATTTCGATGGTGGCTCTGACTTGGCAGATGGGGTTCCGTTCATTCAAACAACATCTTAGGCTGATGAGGTTCATTCTACACCAAAAGGATCGACTCCGGTTGAATCCCTCGGAACTGATGCTGATGGCTTTCATCTTGACGCCCAAGTTTCTGGTTCCAGCCTTAGCAGCGGTTGGAGAGGTCGTTTTCGCAACAGCTGCCGCAAGCAAATCCACCATGCCTGGTTCAAGAAAATGAAGTTCAGATGCTCTACAATCCTTTTCGTATGGAGAGCCCGTATGAGGTTTCTTTATTGTAGTGGTCTATAATGGATAATGCTACTGCTGGAAATTCAAGAGAATCCATAACCTATACTTCCGCAGTTTAAAACCTGCAGCAACTCTGATTTGATGAATTCTATCCTAAGGATGTAGTCTAGGCTTCATCCAAAGTCCTACGCACACTGGACTTCTATAACCAATATATATATATTAATCCGTTACCGTATATATGCAATGAACATGCAAACCAAATAACTGACGAGAGGGAAGAGTTAATTAATTGTCTGTGCATATCAGTTTTAATATTCAACATGGTCTTTTTTCTGTTTATGATTTAATTACAATCTGTTAGCTTGTAAATAAGTTTTCATACAAGCTACAATCTGTAAGGAACGCTTTGCCAATTTATCAATAAAATCATGTTTGTGGCTATCAAATTCCTACCTTTTTTTTCTCAACAGTTGGCGCTGTTTGTTTTATATGACGTCGTATTGTATTGGCAATGGGTTTGTCGTTTATATATGTTTGCTACTCTATATTAATATTATTAATTCTGATAGTTATCAATTTCTTAGATCCAATATTTAGTTGTATAATTTATAAGTGATTAGAGACAAAGTGAAACAAAGAATAAATACAGGAGCGTCAGGGTACTTTTTCTTTTCATTAATTCTAATAATAAAGTAATTTTTTACCCCTCTGGAAAAAAAAATGTTCATTTACTTTTGGTTTTAACATTTTCTTTAAATATTATTCGAGTTTTTTATTTAATTTTTAATAATTTGTTTTCAATCATTACATATCTTGTCCGGCACCGTGTGCTCACTTCAGTTCAGTTGCTAGCCTTAAACTCTAACAGACTCCTTTCATTAAAAAAAGAATTGTGTTAATTTAGTTAACAAAGATTTTCAAAGACCTTTGGAAGCACCATGGCCAAAAAAAACATCATTTATAAACGAGTTGGGGAAATAGCATCAACTCAACTCACTTATGTAAGCAACGTATAATTGCTAAAAAAATTTATTGAGGCTGAAAATAAAATTTTAGCAGATAGTAATATTAAGGTTATATGATTTTAATATTTGTTAATAGATTTATAGGTTTATTTTATTTTTGCTTTTATTATTTAGTATGATAACTTTGATATCATTTATCTTTTAACAAATTCTATTTTCATGCTCGTACTAAATTTGTTGAGATAGATTTTTTTTTTTATAACCAGGTTACAAAAAAAGAAATTCAAATTCGTTTTATCTCCTTTCATGAATACTTTCTAAATATCTTTACCAAATTGTTTTCTGCTATGTTCTTTATTGCCTTTTGTTATAGGTTTCAAGTCAATTCTTATATATATATATATACACACACATGATTATTTCAATGTTATAATCCCTATAGTTGCTATCATATATGACAAAATATGATGGCAATTATAAGGATTATAACATTGAAATAATTCTATATTATTTCTTTTAATTATTTTCTAGTGTTGGTTCATTTCGCAAATGCACGAATCATAACAAGTAATAAAATGATAAGTAGAGTATCATCTCACGAGGATTTGTAAAAATTACTACTAATTACCAAAGTCTTTTAAATTATGATTTATTTGAGGAATCGAATGAGATAGATTATGAAACAAAAATTAATGATTAAAAAATAAACAACCAAATGATTAAATATTAATGAATTCAATTGTATTGGTTTTAGAATTTCTGACTTACCGTAACTATGCTTATTTGAACTTTCTCGATTAAATTAATTACTCCTAATGTTGATAATCAGGTTTTTTTAATGTAAATATTGATCTCTCTCGAGCATCAATAAATTATTTTGACAAACAAATTTCATATATTCTACGAAAGTTCTGAATTTGTCAAAATTTATTAAGTACTGTAAAACCTGTAACAATTACAAAGGTTCCTAGGATATCTCTATCTTATAGAGTTCTTAAAATATTTCAAACAATAGTTAAAACAATTATCACTTCTCAGTTTCAAATTGAATTCCAAATCATATTCATAGTAAGGTTATTTGTTCACATATTCATAGTAAGGTTATATAAAAAATAAAAGTCTATTTCATAGTTAAATTGAAGAGAAACAAACTTGATACGATGAACATCACTCAAAAGTAAAGAATTTTAGTGGAATAGATAGGTGTCCTCCTGATCTTCAATATTTTTGCCTCTGTTCTTTTTGGTTTCTGTTGGTGCCGCTTCCTCCTCTTTTCCTTAGTCTCTTTTAGGTTTTCTCTATGTATGCCTCTTCTCTCTTGCAAACCTTTTTTTTTCTTTTATATTGTGGTCTTTTTACCCCTGCTGGCCTTTTCTAGTTTGAATTTCTTCTTACCCAAACATTGCAGGCCAAGTTTGAGGTAGGAAACTTGCAAATTCAAAGATCGTTATTTCAGAAGAAATTGTAGAAAATTGAATCTTCTTTCCAACAACATCAATCTTGCAATTTTTGGATCTATGAGACTTGAGATAAGGGTCATGAACCGAGACAGTATTTGGAGTGCAAGAAATACGGGTCTAATTCAATCAATGTTCGGTTTTATTACCCGATTCTATCTGCTTAGTAACCTAGTATTTGAAAACACATTAATTTCTCACGAGGTCAATAGTTTATAAAGAAATTCAAAATTCTAATTATCTTGTGCAACGTATCCAAAATATTTAAAAATCAAGCATGAATAGTGGAAAATATATATGCTAAAAATTCTCTTACCATATATATATAAAAGTCACAATTTCATTTTATTATTCTCAACTACACAAATTAAAATATAAAAATTGTAGCAAAAAGACACTATATTGGGCATTTATCCTATACTTGTGCAAATGAAAATCAGCTTAGAGAGAATCAAGGCTTAGAATTATAATAACTGAAACACAAAATGTTGAAATTACCGAATACAAACTTTCTTTAAAAAAAAATTCTTTAATGGGCTAATTTTCTTTAATAAAAAAAAATATATTAAAAAAGATATCATGTTAACCCACCACAAATGGGGGGAAGATATTTCTTTGGTCTAAATACAGACGATAATGAATTCCATGCTGTGAAGGTCATTAAACATGGATGTGACCAAGTGTTTTTGCATGTTTCATGACAAAGCAATTGATATTATCTACATTTTTAGTACAATATTGCAATGGATACTGTCAAGGCATGATAAGCTGAAAACAAAAGTTTCATACAGATAAAACATGGCATATGTTATACTGTTCTTGTTTTGCTATGCCAAAATCCCTAATAATCCAACATTTTCTTTTCTTGTTTTGCTATTTTTCTCAACTAATTATTAACAATTTTACCATAGAGCATATAATAGAACGTTTTATGTTCCCTTCCTTGATCTTTGTTGATGTGTAGGAAAATGGATTGGGTTAGCTAACCAAGTCAAAATGATGTATTATATTTAATAGTATTATATTAGTGATCTATTATATTTATCGATAAATATTCTGATAAACAAATAAAAACATCTATAACATTTTTTGTCAATAATATATTAAATTCAATGGTAAATTTACCGATTGATTTGAGAAGGCATAAAGTTGCTGTAATCAAATAGATTTAAGAATAGAATTGGCATTTTAGGCCATGTGGACGTCTAGGGTCAATTGATGAAGCACTAAGCTGGCACTGTTATGATTTCATAAACTGAAACATTTGAACATATACTGAACTTAAAGTAAAAAATTTATAATTTTCTAATAAGGGCAACATGCATGTGCCTACAAACTCATGAGAGAACCCCGCAGATCAGAGAGCTCTCTTCTTTATACAAAAGGAAAGACAGAAACACAAAAAAAAAAAAAATCAAAAACAACGAACTGCATAGATGAATATTGCATTTAATTTCTAAATTTCATGCAGCAGACGATCATTGGACCCCATCGATCGAGCTTCACTTGTTCATGCCAGTTGCATTCTTTACTCCTTCAACAGCTTCCTGTGTCTTAGCCCTCACCTGCTGACCAGCCTACACAAAAAAGAAACTATCAAAAAATAAAAACCTACTGCAAACTTACTCGCTAAGATTATCTGTGCCAAAATATGCAACTAATTATTAACACTTAGAGTGTTGCGAATTTTATTCATGAGTGTTCCTCATTCTTTTTTGCCTTTTCTTTTTGGTTTATTGTCATTCTTAAATCTTATGCACAATCCATTGTGCCATTGTGGTGAGAATGAATTCTCTAAAAAAATTATAGAACATGAGATTGAACAAAAATATGTGAACCTCTTGCACTGATTCCTTTGCAGATTGAGCAGCATTGTCAGCTCTGTCCATCAAGTTACTGGCCTTCTCCTGAAACAAACAAAATCGATATGTTATAGAGCATCACACAGTAATTTATATATAAAAGCAAAAGCAAAATAGAGAAAGAAATCCATAAGCTAACCTGAGCTTGGCCTTTGGTCTCACCAGCTTTGTAGCTCATCTTCTGGGTGTTGTCAGCCATTTTTGGTTATTGATTTCTTTGAAGGATTGAGAGAATGCAAATGAATTGAAAGCTAAAACACTTGAAAGATTGAAAACACAACTTTTGGTCATAAACATGAGCCATGGTTGCCTTAATTTATAGTGATTAAAACCAAGTCACTGCTTGACACGTAAAATGCTACGTGGAGTGATGGCTGAAATGTGTAAATTACTTAGACTAGCATGTGTCAAGCTGTTATTGAGGTTGAGATTTTGGGGCCCTTGGACCAGGGCCAGGGCGTTAGATTTTTTTTGTGTGCTATGTTTTGACCGCTTAATTTTATTTTATTTTTATATTTAAAAAAATTAATTTTTTTATTTTTTATTTTAAGTTAATATTTTTTAAATTTTTTAAAATTATTTTGATATGATAATATTAAAAATAATTTTTTAAAAATAAAAAAAATATTTTAATATATCTAAAACAATATTTTAAAAATAGCAATAACCATATATTTAAAAATAATATTTATAAATTAAATTGGCTAAATATTAGACTGGCTTCAACTTACACTTTTAACTATTTTTAATTTATTCTAATAAAAAACATTTTCAATCACATTATTAAATAAATATAAACAAATATTATTTTTATGGACCTTTTATGCATGATATATTTAGCTTGAATTAAAAAAAATTTGAATTTCCCGTTATATATTATTTAATATTATTATTAAATTCAATCTTAAACTTCTAAACCTTCTATCCAATTTACCATTTAATTATAATTGAAATTAAATTATATAAAAATTATTATACCATAATCCAATATATGATTAGTACTTAAAATTGTATTTTTATCAAGGTTTTATATTATCATTTTGCACTTCAAGTATCAATAACTCCTTAACTAAAGCATATTTTATAATAACATATCTAATAATATAAGATACCTTTAATTTGTGGTAAATGTTCATTTTAAATGCAGGTCTATCACATAAATGAAAGGATTGACTGATGAATTTAAGAAATGAAATTGAAAGGACAAAGAGATGGCCAAACTTAGAAAAAAGATGTTGGTACAGTCTAAACCAGAATACTATTTTGTAATTGGGTCATATCTGGAGCTGTAAATCTTGGATTTAAGTCTACTTTATATAAATGAAAGGTAAGACATATGCCTACAACTTTCATATGCAGCCCAAGATTTAAAAAGGGCATTTTCAAGTTCAAATTGTAGCAACAACAAAGAAGTCCGAATCTGTCCTACAAACCACGCACTGTTCAATGTTTGGCCCATATCTGGAGTTCTAAAATCCAAATGACCTCTATTTTTTTCCTGAAAAGCGAGATAATTTCCTACAACTTTCATGTCAAGTGCTTCCAATTCTACCGTTATCAATGACGTTTTAGGCAGATAAGAGAAGATAAGGATTGTCACCAAGTCAAACGTTAGCCATCCACTCATCAATTAGTCACCAAATCAATAATTCTCAATTTTGACCTATAAAAGAAGGCATTTGTCATGCATTTAGGCATCTTGGTCTCCAGATAAAATCATGTTATTGCTTTCTCTCTTTGTATTTTTGTAATGTTCAGTTTTTATTTTTAATAATATCAAGTTTGTGCCTTTCATTTCCTAACATAAGTTATAATCATGCATGCCTAATGAGATTTATAAGTATTAGTATTAATCGAATAAGATAACTAATGTAATCATGTTAACAATTTATAATCTGATTGGAACCTTCTTTGTGTATGGTTTTCAATTGAATAATAAGAGTTTATAATATACTTGTTTGATATACCATTAGTGGATCCTCTAACCTTAACATTTGTTGTTATCATTATTTAACCTTTACATTGATCTTCCATCTCAAAGTTCTCATCAACTTCTTCTTCTTTTTCTTCTTCTTATGCTTCTTCTTTATTACTATTACTACTATTAGTATTAGTAATATTATTATTAGTAGTAGTATTAGTAATAGTATTATTAATATTATTAATATTACTATTATTATTAGTATTATTATTGCTATTCGTATTACTATTACTATTACTATTACTATTACTATTATTAATATTGTTGTTATTATTGTTATTGTGTTATTGTTATCTATAATTTATACAATTAACCTCCATGTGGTTTGACCCCGGTCTTGCTGGGTTATTTATTACTTTGACACTCCTGCACTTGAAAGAAGACATCAATCTTTTAGTCATGTTAGTATACACAGAGACAAAAATAAAACTCAAACAATCGGTTAAACCTCTGCATATAGAATAGCCCATTTAAAGAAAAAATAAGTTGAGCTAACGGAATATTTTTGCAAATAAATATTTTAGTCTTTGTTCTTGTTTTTCAACATAAACAACTAGGTTGTACAAGTGAAGTATTTAAACTCGTAAGATATAATGGTTTAGCTAAAAAATAAAAGGGAAATCCCATGAAATCTGGTTGATGACAGTGCTGAGTTGTTGTGATGATATCTTTATGGCAGAGGAGTTTGTTACAATGACAACTTGATAATAAGGATTTTGACAGTAGAGAATGCCTATAAGTTTGTTGAACTACCATGTAGAGTTACTGTAATTTTAAACTTGTCGATTTTATAGGCTTAAGTGGATTGTCATCTTGGTTTGAATATATTGTTGTTAGAGCTCTAAGATCACTCAACGTCTCTCCAGTAATTGAGGCTAGATTGTGAAAGTCTCCACTCCTGTTTCTCTAAGAATCTCGTGTATCTTTATTTCACCATTAACTCTCACAATTGTTGGCAGTGCCAAGCTGTGATAGGTTGTTAACACCTTATTAGTACTTAAAAGTGCATTTTTATCATGGTTTTATATCATCATTTTGCACTTGAAGTATCAATAACTCATTAACTAAAGTATGATTTATAATAATTGATTAGTACTT